AGTTTACGAGATTTTACAAGTATTCTACCAGTAGCCATTATAATGTTTGAAATGGGGACATTTTTTTCTTAAAGGGTCTTTCCCCCTAAAGATCTAACAAGTATTTTTAAAAATATTACCATGAACCATTACATTGCTTGAAAGAGGGACATTCCCCTTGCAAGTACAAAAGGCTGAATCTCATAAACAATTCTATCTTATCATGATCCGATACAAAATTGACTCTTAACACATGGACAAAAAAGTATTCTCTACTAAATTGAAAAAAAAAATTAGTATTTCAAGTGCATCACGCGAATAGCAGACAAGTTACATATGGAAGTAGTCAACATCTATTACGCGAATAGCAGACAAGTTGAGTGAGAAGGCTAAGCTTTTCTTAGAAAAAGATGTAACGGAAGAAGAAGTGTGGGATACGATATGTAGCTGCGATGGGAATAAGGCACCTGGACCTGATGGCTACAACATTAATTTTTTCAAAAATCAGTGACAGTTGATTAAGGATGAGGTCATGGTTAGCTTAGGGAGATTTTTTGAGGAGGGTAAGCTTGAGGATGGAGCAAATAATTTTTTTATTACGCTTATCCCAAAAGTGGCTAATCCTAATAAGATTGTAGAATATAGACCTATTAGCTTAGTGGGAAGCTTATACAAGATTGTGGCCAAACTCCTTGCAAATAGGTTAAGATGGGTTATAGGTAGACCTGTCAATATAGGCCGGCCCGGCCCAACCCTGCCCTAGCCTTTGTGGGCTGAAAAAATATGGGCAGGGCCGGGCCAGCCCATATTTTATATGGGCTACAAAATGTTCAAACCAACCCACCCCTTGCTAGCCCATGGGCCGGGCCGGGCTAGCCCATTTTTTTTGCAGAGAAAGAAATATATGTTCTACTGACTCATCAGAACAAGTGATATATAACTAATATCTGTGAGTTTAATCCATAAAGTAAAGTAAAAAAACATAATTACAAAACAAATAAATTACATTAAAAATAAATAAGCAAATACATTACATCAAATATAAAAAAAATTTCAAATTAATATTAGCCCACCCCTTGTAGCCTATGGGTTGGGTTGGGCCAACCCATTTTTTATTTTTCAAAAAGAAATTATTTATAATTTTACTTGATAAATTTTTATAAATAAATTATATTCTACGATTAATTCAAAACTGAATAATAAAAACATGTTACAAATAATAAATTACACACAAATATAAAAAAATAAATAAATTACATAATAAAGTTAAATCTTTAACACAAACTACTATCTTATAAACATAAGTATATAACCAAATAATAAAAATTTCAAAACTCATTTATATCCTCCTCAATCTTCATCTCAAGTAAAACATTTAAATCTTATTTAGACAGTAATGATGTCTCAAGCTCTGAATTATATCAATTTATCATCAATATTCATTACCATAAAAGAAAAAGAGATAATAAGTTTTAATTTAAATTAAAAATTTGACAAGTGAAGATTAAAGACATTGAATATATAAAATAAACAATACTATTGGTAACTAAATTATTGATTTTTCATAATTAAATATATAAAATTATTAAATTAATTAAAATTATTTTTTGGCCCATGGGCTGGCCCTGCCCCAGCCCACATCAGCCCACTGATTTGGTGGGCTGGCCCATTTAGGCCCGGTTCAAATATGGGCTAAAAATTTTCAACCCAACCCACCCCATATTTAATAAAAAATGGGCCTGCCCTATGGCTCGGCCCATTTTGACAAGTCTAGTTATAGGAGAGGTCATAAGTGACAAACAATTTACTTTGTGAAAGGAAGACAGATGATGGACTGCTCATTAATAGCAAACGAAGTTATTGACTTTGTAAAAAAAAGGGAAGGAAGGAGGCTTTATTGAAAGTTGACTTCGAGAAAGCCTACGATAGTGTGGACTGGACTTTCCTACAGTTTGTGATGAGGAATATGTGGGTGAAGATGGAGGAAATGGGTGATGGGGTGCGTGTCAAATGCAAGGTTTCAGTTCTTGTGAATGGAGTGGCAACAGAGCCTTTAAGATGGGTCGTGGTGGCGTCAAGGGCTCCGCTTCGCCTTTTCCTCTTTAATATTGTGACAGAGGCATTCAGTCAGATGATGGATGGAGGAGAGACTGTGGGACTGTGTAAAGGAATTTCAATTGGATAAGGGGGTTGAGAATCTCCCATTTATAGTTTGCTGATGACACTATGATCTTCCTTAAATCAGAGATTGAGAGCCTTGTCAATGCCAAAAGGATATTAAGATGCTTCCAAGCAATTTCAGGTTTGAAAATTAATTTTCATAAGAGCAGCCTAGTGGGAATAGGAACGGATGAGAATTTTGGTAGAGTTTGTGCTGAGAGGATTAACTGTAGGTTTGAAGATATTCCCATGATGTACTTGGGGTTGCCATTAGGGGCAAATCCAACTCGATACAAACGTGGAAACCAATCATAGAGAAATAGCAGATGGAAAGCCAAGACGCTATTTATAGGAGGAAGAGTTGCATTACTTCGGTCATTTTCTTTCTAGCTTACCTATCTTCTACATGTCTATATTCCAAATTCCAAAAGGAGTGATAAAGGAGTGGAGAAAATTGAAAGGAGGTTTCTATGGTGCGGCAGTGAAGAGAAACAAAAAATACACTACATTGAGTGGAACAAAGTATGCAACTATAAGGAGAATGGGGGGCTAGGGATCATTGATATGGAGGTCAAGAACAGAGCCTTACTTAATAAATGGCTTTGGAGGTATGGGAGTGAGATGGGCAGTTTATGGAGAGAGGTAATTGTGGAGAAAGTAGGAGAAAATCCATCAGCCTTTTACCTGAGAGGAGTGCAAATAGGAGAGTTTCAATAGTGTGAAAAATATTATCAACCCTATCCCCAACTAACGATTTTTATTTGCAGGTGAGCACTGACATGCAACTGGTTGTAGGTGACGGAAGTAGAATCTTGTTCTGGGCCGATAGGTGGACTGATGGTGGTACTTTAAAGGAGCTTAATCCTAGAATCTTTGCCCTTGCAAGGAATAAAGATGGATACATCCAGGAGTTTGGTAGATGGGAAGAGGAAATATGGGTGGGGGAAGTGCAATTAAGGGCCAACATTTAGGTGGGGAGAAGACCAGCTGAATCAACTGAAAGAATGCATGGACAATACCATCTAAGTAAAAAATTAAAGGATTCTCTTGCTTGGAAAGGTACTTGCTCTGGCCATTACACAGAAATCTTTTTGCAAGCAAAACTCACAAATGGAAGGAGTAATGAAAGTGTGTGGAAGAGAATATGGTCGAATTTAGCACCGTATCGAATTGAAGTGTTTTGTGGCAGATAATCCATGAAAAGTGGCAGTCAAGTATGAATTACTACGAAGAGGATTAATTAATAATGAGGCAGCGGATGTGTCTTGTGTCACAGGAGCAGGAGACTACAAGGCATTTATTTCTTCACTATCCAGAAGTATGGAAGTTTGGGCAAAATGGAGTGAAGATTGGGGAGCATGTTGAGTGGTCCCTAATAATGTTAAAAATTTTTCAACATATGGATGAGGCGACAATAACAAAAGGGGAGAGACAGATTTGGAAAATGGCTTTCTATGCAGTTTCATGGTCTGTATGGCTGCAGAGGATGAAGTTGAGTTCAAAGGCATAGCTTGGGATTCGAATCAGGCGTATGAAATTAGTAAATTGAGGGTAACCATTTGGGCCAAAGCGAAGTGGCTTATGATATGGTGAGATTCTGGACACCTATAGGTTCCCCCAATTTGAGCTAATTTAGTAAATGTGGGACATGGTAGGAAAGTAGAGGGGTGGTGTAAACCAGCTCAGGGCGAATGAAGTTCAATGTTGATGGGGTAGCCAAAGGATGCCCAAGAGAGGTTGGGATTTGGGGAGCAATGAGGGATGAACACGGACATGTTAAGATCATTTTCTCGAAGGCATAGGCATAGGGGATTCAAACCTTGCTGAAATTAGAGCAATTCGGGAAGCTTTCTTGTTGTTTATTCCATCCAAATGGAATCAATCACACAGTGTGATAATTGAGAGTGACAATGTAATGCTGTTAAATGAGTGAACAAACCTTTGGAACACCTTGGAGATAAGAAAGTGGATTCTCCATATTGACAGATTGAAAAATGATGTACGAAGATGGGAGGTGAGGCACACTTTTAGAGAGAATAACAAACTGGCCGATCGACTTGCAAAAGCTGGGGTTCAACGCACAGAGGACCTGGTGTCTGTGCTGGAATAGGCCTTCGCTTTTGGTGCCATTGTTAAAGTGAGAAAGGAACCCAAGTAATGTGAAAAAATCTCCTGTCAACTTTTCTACTCCGATTGGATCTTGGTTTTGATGATCAAAGGCTTCAAGGGTTCTTGAAGTTTCTTATCTGTTTTTGGATTATTTTTGTTTTGTGGTCTTTGGGTATTACTGTCACTATTTGAGGTTGTTTTCTAAGAATTATGTCGTTGTTGTTTAGTCTCCTTGTTCCCTGCTGTTGCTTTTGATCTTAGGCAGGATAGAGTTTTTTTTGTGAGGTTTTGATTGATGAGGGTATGCTGCTGGGTTATGTAAGTAGTGTGTGAACTTTTTTGTTCTGGTTTTTCTTGGCATACCGATTTTCTTTCATACCAATGAGAGTCTCTGGCAGCTCCAATTCGAGACTATCAATGATTTATCGGTTAATGGTCAATAAATTTCACTTTTCAAAAAAAAAACATCTATTCATTTCCTTACCACATATTAATCCTTATCTGGGGCCTGCGAAATGAACTTGGCGATGAATTAGTACCTAATGCATTTCTTAACGTGTCTGATTTGAACTGTCCTTTTTGGCGCAGGCCAGAAACCCTTTGCTTTCAAACCTGACACAACTATGAGTGGTGAGGATTCTTCCTACACGGAAAAACATCTTAACCACAGAAGCCTCAATTTTTGCACTGTTTCACCAACCTCAACTCTTGACCTTACTTGATTAACTGTTGTAATGAATTATGTGCAGTGGATGAGTAAAAAATAATACTATAAGTTAACAAAGGTTAGCAGATAGGATGATCAGTGATTGAGATTCTTACCTGTATCTCCTAGCTAGCTAGTTGATCAAAGGAAAGCTTGTTTACATTTCTCATGGCTTCAAGTGCAACTCTTCCATCTCAAATGAAGGCTTGGACTTATGCTGAATATGGAAAATCATCTGACGTCCTGAAATTAGGCTCAGATGTTGCTGTACCCCAACTGAATGATGACCAGGTTCTGGTCAAAGTTGTAGCAGCAGGGATTAATCCTGTTGATATCAAGAGAATGCATGGATTAATCAAAGCCGCAGATTCTCCTTTACCTGTAAGTCTCTTCTCTTCCAATACTCTTTATTTTCTTTGCTAAAACGTTTCCTTCTGTGTGGTCTCAAGCTAGAGGAAGAAGACTGTGGTTAACTATAATTATGGTTTGATTAGATATCATGCTAATTGCCGTTCAGAAACATGCAAAGAACATATAGATTATGACAGCTTTAGGATTTTTAGTCTAGTGGATACAGTCTTCTAACAGGAATCAGTGAAAGAATGAAAAAAAGCAGCTGATTCCCTGAGGTCAGGTAGGATAAAGTGATCTCTTTGAAAAAATAAGGAAAAACACAAAAGGAGCTATAAAATATGTAGCAAATCTTGTTGTCTTGTTATTGTCATATGACAAGTCGTTTTCTATGTTATTAATAACTCAGCCAAGAATAAAAATTTCTATGTAATTTCTCCTAACGTTTCTTCTTATGTTATTCTACTTTGTCAGATTGTTCCAGGCTATGATGTTGCTGGTGTGGTGGTTAAAGTGGGAAGCCAAGTAAAGAAATTTAAGGAAGGGGATGAAGTATATGGGGACATTAACGAGAAGGCCTTGGATCACCCAAAACAATTTGGAACTATAGCTGAATACACTGCTGTTGAAGAGAGGCTGTTGGCTTTCAAACCGAAAAATCTGAGTTTTATTGAAGCTGCAGGGCTGCCCCTAGCCATTGAGACTGCCAATGAAGGCCTTGAAAGATCTCAGTTTTCTGCTGGCAAATCTATCCTTGTCTTGGGTGGTGCTGGTGGGGTTGGCACCATGATTATTCAGGTAAATCATATCCGCTAACTTCTCTTTCTCGGCTCTTGCTATGTCTCCAAGAAAAATCGTTTTCTGCATGATTGGCTGAATCCAATTATTGACATCCTTATCGCAAGTTCTACATACCATTTGGAGTGAGTTCTAAGGACTTGAATGGTTGTTTTATTTTTAATTTGTTTCTCTTTTTTATTGATAATTGTTTCTTACTAATTAGTTTTGGATTTTGAATTAGAACTTGAATTCTTTTCCGTCTCTATCGATTAATGTCATTGCACCTGGATCAGCTAGCTAAGCAAGTCTATGGAGCATCCAAAGTAGCAGCTACCTCAAGTACTGGGAAACTGGATTTGCTGAAGAGTTTGGGTGCTGATTTGCCTATTGATTACACCAAGGAAAACTATGAAGGTCTGCCAGAGAAATTCGATGTAGTCTATGATACAGTTGGTAAGATTCTAAAACCGTTGTTGAATTTCTTTAATTTCTAAGAAGTTAGATAGCAAGTAATTTGCATAATTTTTATTTTTGTTAACTTACAAATGAACATGTGTATGGTTTGTGTAAACAGGTGAATGTGAAAGGGCAGTGAAGGCAGTGAAGGAAGGAGGACATGTTGTGACAATAGAAGTAACAGTTCCGGTGGTTCCACCAGCTGTTTTGTTCGTTCTCACTTCCAACGGGGCTGTTTTGGAGAAACTGAATCCTTTCTTGGAGAGTGGGAAGGTTAAGCCTATGATTGATCCCAAAGGCGTGTTTCCTTTTTCTCAAACCAGGGAAGCCTTTGCCTATCTTGAAACTGGCAGAGTTATTGGAAAAGTAGTCATACATCTATAATGCCAAGTGAAAAAGAAAATCATCAATGTACTTTATCTATCCATCTATCTTTCTGGTTGAGAATCCATCTGTGTTGTTTTATGTTATGATGGTATTAATAAGAGTTTGTTAAGAGAGGAATAACGTTGGATTAATAAAAGTTAAAACAGATATTACTAGTTTTTAATGCTTATCGTTAAAAATAAAAGTAGTATCAGCAGCTTATCAAATTTACCATGTAAGGGCCAAATTGTGGTCATTAGCTTGTCACGGGGAAGATCTTCTGGAGAGATAGCAGAAGAGAATGCAATGCCCTTTGAAGAAAGATTTTTAGAGTTTGTTATTCTGTCAATGGCTTATCAAAAGGAAGAGATCAGTCTCTTTATCACTTGCCAAATCAGTTGAATTTAGAAGCAAACCTTAAACCTTAACTTTTGCTCAGTTCAAACCTTAAACCTAATCCACTTGGATTGTAATTACCCAAAACCCAAATCTTGGCTGCTATTTCTTTAATAGGCGATGTGGTCAGCCTGTTCACACTATGATGTTAATAAAAATTTTACCTGTAAGAGACATTAAAGATTAAAATAATTTCATTATGGATTAGGTAGGTGATACCACTTCAATGATTTTTGGCTTTTCGCCACGAGGCTGGGACGAAAGTTCAAGTGATGGTCTTCAAATTCAACCCAATTTCAACGGTAACAAGGGAATGGTCACATGATGAAAGATGTCTGCACAATGAACCTGGACAGAAAATCAATGCTTATAAATTGTTTGAATGAACACGGAAACTATAAGATTGTAAGGTTTTGGCATCAGGCATAATAAACAAATTAAGGACATTAAATTATAGAATTTAATAATCTTATATGTCCTCATTAGGTGTCCAAATCCATTCTCTGCAGCCAAAGTGATTGAGGCTCATTAGTCTTGCCATTTATCAAACAACGAAGAAGAAACAAAGTATTGATACAAAGAAAAAACAAAAAGTTGCCTCTGTAGAAATGGAGAATGCTTCAGGTGCTGCTTCTGTTCCCTCTACAATGAAGGCTTGGATTTATGGTCAACATGGAAAACCTGCTGATGTTCTGAAACTCAAGTCAGATGTTGCTGTACCCCAAGTGAAGGAAGACCAAGTTCTAGTCAAGGTTGTTGCGGCAGGGCTTAATCCACCTGATAACAAGAGGATGCTTGGGATATTTATACATGCTGAATGTCCTTTTCCAGTAAGTACCATTCTCTTCTTGTCGCGTTTTTTTTTTTTTTCACTTTTCTGTTTTGCAGTAATAAAGGATTGGTCCTTTCTTCTTTTGTTACTCTGCCTTTCAGACTGTTCCAGGCTATGATGTTGCTCGCGTGGTGGTGAAAGTAGGAAGCCAAGTAAAGAATTTAAAGGTAGGAGATGAAGTATATGGGAATGTTCATGAGAAAGCCTTGGATCATCCGAAACAATATGGCACTTTAGCTGAGTATACTGCTGTTGAAGAGAGGCTGTTGGCTCTAAAACCAAAAAACCTGAGCTTTCCTGAAGCTGCTGCACTGCCTGTTGGCACTGGGACTGCCTACGAAGGCCTTCAGCGATGCCAGTTTTCTGCAGGTCAATCTATTCTTGTCTTAGGAGGTGGTGGTGGGGTTGGCAGCATGGTCGTTCAGGTAAATTTGTTCAAATTAATCTCGATGAAATTTTGGATTATGAACTCTTGGAACTTAATCCCTTTTCATCTTTGTACTTTCCTCTACTTGATCAGCTAGCCAAGCATGTTTTTGGGGCATCCAGAGTAGCAGCTACAGCAAGCACTGGAAAACTGAAGTTGCTCAGGAGCTTGGGAGCTGATTTAGCAATCGATTACACCAAGGAGAACTTCGAAGATCTACCAGAGAAATTCGATGTAGTATACGATTGCGTTGGTAAGATTATGAAGCTGTTGTTGATCCTTAACAAATTTGATCTTCCCTTAGACAAAAGACTAATTATAAACACCAATTAATCATGGTAAAAAAACAAAACAGGGCAATGCGACAGGGCAGTGAAGGCAATGAAAGAAGGAGGGCGAGTGGTTACAGTTAGTGGTGCTGTAACAGTGCCAGCATTTAAATTCATAGTCACTTCTAATGGAGCCGATTTGGAGAAACTGAATCCTTGCCTGGAAAGTGGGAAGGTAAAGGCAGTGATTGATCCCAAAGGCATTTATCCTTTCTCTCAAACCCTGGAAGGACTTGCCCATGTTGACACTGGCAGAGTTGCAGGAAAAGTGGTAGTATATCCGATCCAAGAAGAGAATTGATTGTGTCAATATGTAAAAGAGTTTGATATATTTAAATTTTGAAATATAAAACAGTTAATTAATAGAGTTGTTATTGTTTATAACAAATCCTACTGTTTAAAATTCTTCGTAAGAGTAATGGATCTTATGGAAATTTCATTTTATGTACTATTATAATATAATTATTTTATTTTTAATTTCTTTTAATAATATATATTAATTATATTCTGCAAACCTATAAAACGAACTTAGTGAATATCATTGCCCAATGGCTCCACATAGACAAAGTAAATGCTCATTTTAACTTTTTCTACTGTGAGACTAAACATCACCATCTCCTTTGTTGTCTTCTACCAGCCAGCAGCCATAATGATTAGATTTTTCACCTTTCTTAAAAATTATTGTATAAAAAAAAGCCATCTATAAATATTACTAAGTATTTAGTTTATTGTAATTTTAATAATCATGTATGTATTGCACAAATCATCATTTTCATTAATATTAGATATTAATTCTAATTTAGTCATATAGTGCATTTTTTATATATCATAAAAAAGGCTTGGGGGTTTTGGATAGTATAATTTCTCATGGAAGACTCTAGTAGTGTTTCCATAATAACGAAAATAAAGAGATCATTGTATACATGAAGAAGAATTCGTAAAGCAAGCTTCTTCAAATAAAGAGGATAGTGAAAATAATTCTTCATGGAGGACTCTAGTAGTCCTTCCATAACAACGAAAATAAAGAGATCGTTGTATACAAGAAGTAGAATTCGTAAAGCAAGTTTCTTCAATAAAGAAGAGAGCGAAAAATAAAAGGAGAGCTTCTTAAGAGGGGGTGTGACATTGGACTAATAAAAGTTTAAATAGATATTGCTAGTTTTTAATGTTTAACCTTAAATAGAAGTAATTGAGATATTTCATATCTTTCAAAAATAAGAATAAAATCAAGATTCATTATGATGTTTGTTTACTTTATCATATAATATATACCAATTTTTTGAGGGGATTACCTTTTTAAGCTGATCAGAAACTTGCAATTTACCATAAAATGCAAAATCAAAATCCGAACAAAGATTTATTAGCATATATGGTCTTGTCATTTAAACTCTGTCCATAGCTCACATGTATATAATATAGTCCTGCCCAAGCAAAATTCTCATTCAAGTTCAACTTCTTCTAACCAACCAAAAGCACATTCAATTCATCATGAAGGGTTTGATTTCCTTTCTCCTTTTGATCCTTCTCTTCAGCAGTTTTGGTGAATCTCCTTCTCTCACTCTGTTTTCTTTATTATTTTGTACTAGACAAGAATATTCTTTACTTTTTTTTTATCAAGAATTTCTTCTTTTTTGCTGGAGGGTTTTATTCAATTATGCATGTTATATATGTTCAGGAAGTGATAAATCAATCAGGGCAGAGGCTAAAACTTGCAGAGTATTTTTGGAAAGCATGACAGAGTGCATTACCACAGAGTGCACTGAAAGATGTCAAGCTAAGTTTGGAACCGAGGCTGTTGGGAAATGTGGAAAGATTTCTGCTTGTAATTGTGATATTCCTTGTTAATTTTTTTTTTCATGTCCTTGAAGAAAGAAATAAAGAAAGAAATAATAATTACATTTAAAAGGGGTCAAATCTAAAAATGAAAGGGCTAGCAACTTATGAAATTTACCATGTAAGGGCCAAACTGTGGTCAGATATCCAATCCCATGAGAAGAATTATCAATGTAATTTACAGTGAGAGTTTTTTAATAACATTCTGTGTAAGATCTTCTGGAGAGAATGCAAAGATTTTTGGAGTTTGTTACCCAGTCAATTTATCCTTTCCTTTCTTCTACATTTCTTGTTGACCCTCTTTATACAATTGTAATAATGTGAGTGATATCATCACAATTGGATTCATGTAAAAGTGTTTGCAATTATTTGAATCTTATGATATATTTAAATTTTGAGATACAAAACAGTTAATTAATGGAGTTGGTATTGTTTATGACAGATCTTATCGTTTGGGATTTTTGTAAATATAATATTTTGAATATCCTGTTGGCATGATGCTTCTCAGCAATCCTCTTGGGGATAATAGATCAATCTTAATGGAGTTGGTATTCTGCAGGCCTATAAGATGAACCTAGTGAATATCAAATTATAAACTTTGCCATCAGCCATCACATGAGCCATAAATAAACAAAGATCATTGCCCAATGGTCCACACAGAAAAAGTAAATGCGCATTTAACATTTTTTAATGAGAGGCTAAACTTCAAAATTTCTTCTGTTGTCTTCTACTAGCCAGCAGCCATAATGATCAAGACTCTTTAACTGATCACCCCTTTCACCTTTCCTATAAATTGTTGCATCAAATCTTGTCCAAGTACTAGGAAAAAAGAGCCAGTGTTAGACTTGCTATTTCTGTTGGTAGAACAAATAAAGCTTTCTTTCTCTTTGTTTCTAATTTTTGGTGAAGGCTTTCTTTCCCTTAATTCTCATGGAGACTACTTCTAGAGCTTCTAATATTCCATCTAAAATGAAGGCTTGGGTTTATGCTCATCATGGAAAACCTGTTGATGTTCTGAAACTGGACTTAGATGTTGCTGTACCCCAACCGACAGAAGACCAGGTTCTAATCAAGGTTGTAGCAGCAGGGCTCAATCCAGTTGATTTCAAGAGGATGCTTGAGATGTTCATAGAAGCTGATTCTCCCCTACCTGTAAAATTCCTTTTTCTTCTCATCTTAGTCTGCCTTGACTATATTCTACAGAAATTTCTAACATTGCACAAGCTAAAATGTTGCCTTTTAACTTTTTCTTGATTTGTTCTTGTTGTGTAAAACTTCCTGTCAGACTGTACCAGGCTACGATGTTGCTGGTGTGGTGCTGAAAGTGGGCAGCCAGGTAAAAATTTTAAAGGAAGGAGATGAAGTGTACGGGAACATTAATGAGAAAGGCTTGGATCACCCAAAAAGATATGGCACTTTAGCTGAATATACTGCTGTTGAAGAGAAGCTGTTGGCTCTCAAACCAAAAAATCTGAGTTTTGTGGAAGCTGCTGCAATTCCCCTAGCTATCGGGACTGCCTATGAAGGCCTTGAAAAAACTGGCTTCTCTGCTGGCAAATCTATCCTTGTTTTAGGAGGTGCTGGTGGGGTTGGCACCATGGTAATTCAGGTACATCAATACCTATGTTAATTGCTTCTTACTTACCAATGCCTTGTATATTAATATCTATGGAGTTGGCACCATGGTTTTTTCCCTCCTGGATCAGCTAGCAAAGCACGTCTTTGGAGCATCCAAAGTGGCAGCTACCTCGAGCTCGGCAAAACTGGAATTATTAAAAAGCTTGGGAGCTGATTTGGCAATTGATTATACCAAAGACAACTTTGAAGATCTGCCAGAGAAATTTGATGCAGTATATGATGCAGTTGGTAATCTCAACTATTTTGGAAAATAATTATACTTTGTTCTTTTGCTCTTCTCCAGTCTTGGTTATAGTTAAATAATAGACATACTCTTCCAATGTGGTTAATTGCATGCTACTAGGTTGTAGTAATTTACACAAACACTTAATATGAAACAGGGCAATCTGAAAGGGCAGTGAAGGCGGTCAAAGAAGGTGGGCAGGTGGTGACAATCGAACCCGTGAAGGCTCTGACTGCACCAGCTTTCAGGTTCATACTGACCTCCAGTGGGGCAATGCTGGAGAGATTGAACCCTTTCCTGGAAAATGGGAAGGTGAAGCCTGTCATTGATCCGAGAGGCACATTTCCTTTTTCTCAAGGCCCAGAAGCTTTTTCCTATCTTGAAACCGGCAGAGTTACTGGCAAAATCGTCCTTCATCCAATTCCATGAATAGAATCAATACGGAATATGTATAATATTGTCGAATTTAAACTTATTATAGAAATTTCTTGAGACGTATGAATTAACACTTTTTCCTATATATTAAATTAAATCATAATATCCAAGTCGCCATCCGAATAATATAAATTGTAACTTGAATTCCTTTGTAATTATCTTGGGTTTTCCCTCCTGGATGAGCATGTCTTGGGAGCATTCAAAGTAGCAGCTAGTGAATTATTCATCAAGCAAAACAACACAGACAAAATTAAGTCACACCATTATTCCTTGACTTCTACTTACATTATTCCCGCATATCTTGATAACTATTAACCACATCCCCACATCAACACAGATCATAAAGGAGTTCCAGTACCAGGGTAGAAATTTAACAGTACTAAAACAATATATCCAGCATTAAAACTGGGAAAGCTCAGGAAAAGACACAGGACAGAGTAGCAAAACTTATAGGCATGCACAAACATCTTAAATTTCTGTACATCAGGCCGCCCCTCAACATCCCATTACAACCGAATCATCCACAACAGTAGCCAAACTTATAGGCATGCACAAACATCTTAAACTTTCAAAATACCATAGCTTGATGAGGTATGAGATTTTAAGTGAAATGTTTAAGAAAAAATACACTATTAAGATTATATCAGAATACAAACAACAATCTGAAAGTTCAGTCTGTATTAATAAGGGAACGATTTTGATTTGTTGTACTCGGGTAGTTAATATAATAGTCCAAAATCATTACAAAAACTCAATATAGAAAAACAAATTCCTGTCATAGTTGACTCTAAGCATATACCATATGACCCTACCTAGAGAACAGAACAATCAATATTTACCTCGAACAAAATGTAACATTTGTTGTATTTTTGAGAGTCTTTCATGGTATACACTGAGTGCAAGGCAGCTGATATCTATGCAGCAAAGGGAAGGAGACAAACCAGACAAAAAACTATGCTGTAACAAAGGTTATATGACAAGAAGATTCTAAACCATATGAGTTGTGCAGCTGATATTTATTAACATTTTGATATATATTCCAAACTTGCTAAGCAAGATGTGAACAGTGATAATACATTTGATTACTAGCTAAAATATCAATTAGTCAGTCACTAGGAGCATAGGCATCATAATTTTGACAGTGAAGTAGCTGTCACAACACAACACATCATGGTAGAAACCATTAGTTAAAAAGCAAGCACTATAAAGGTCTTCAATGCAAGTCCTAATTCAACACTCCTCCTTAGGACTTAATTTGCAGACCCCTAACTTCAAT